ACGATCTATACGAACATTCTAGTCACTAGATATATCTACGGGATTACCTCGAAGCTTAATGGAGGTTTTGGAAATTTTCCGGCGAAACTTCCGGCGAGTATTTCTCCCAACTCCAGCGACTTCACACCAAATTGACAGCACTACTTCACTCTCTACACTCTCAGCTATCCTTTGGAAGAAGAACGGTGAAGAATGGTGAGAAATTGGAGAGTTTATATAAGAAGGAGGAAGGGGTTTAAGCCATGGGAGATGACCTCCCTAACACTGTTTTGGCGTCTCAGTGGAGGGGGCTGCAGCTCCGACAGATTTTATACGTAAGTCCCTGATTGGGACTAAATTGGTCCTAGTCAGGGAACACTTTTTGGTCCAACTTTCTTCGAATTGAAATCCGATTGCACCGTTGCGATCAGACAGTTAAACTCTATCTAACGATATAATTTTTATATTTATTCGTTATACTTTTTCCGACATCATATTTTTGGGTGGTTGACTTTGACATAGTCAAAATTGGTTTAATTGACCTTTATTCAAAAAGGTTCTTACATTTCATTCATATTATTTATTCTCATGATTTATTTCAATAAATCATTTCAATGTTCATATCATAAATAAATTTCTTAATTTATCCTTGATTTGGGTCTGTACTCAGGTTCCCAATCAAGGTCACACAGTATGTCAACATATTGGATTAATCTCTATGAGATTTATCCGGATCATGATATTGGATATCAAAACATATTTTATTTTGGCCCAAGGCCCAACAACAATTTATTTTTAATCAAAACAAATTTGATTAATTAATTAATAATTCATTAATAATTCTAGGGTATGTTTTGGGGCGTTACACATTATGTGCATGATATCAAATGGTTTGATTATGAATTTAGATTCAGTTTATATGGATGTTCGACGCATTAGATCTGCTTACTCAGCTTCAACGTTGAGCGTGTAGTATGTTTTATTTGCTACACGCAGGTTAATAGAAAGGATGAAGTGACGCGATCCTGGAGGCAGACGGAGGCGAGATTTTCGGAATGGATGTGATGGTTTTGAATTAAAGAATATAATAAATTATGTTGTAATTATTATTTGGTAAAGCTTCCGCAATATTGAAAACTCCGTACTGTTTATATTATGAAAAATATTATTATGATAAATAAAAGTGCTTGAAATGTTTTAAATTTTTATGATTACCAAGTTAATACTTTAGTCCGAAAGGGGCTGCAGACCTGGATGGATTAGGGTGTTACACATGCTCTTGGACTTGGAGTAGTCTTCTGCATTTTATAGTCTAGTCGGTATGGAAACTGAGAAGAGTGTAACGACAGAGAAAGAGGGGGCGGATACCAATTTCACCCCGCTGACATCGACAGATGAAACAGGTAATGCTTTAAACTTAATTTGTTGTGAATTTGATTATTTGTGGGGTTTGTAAATTGATTTAGTGATTGCAAGTGTTGGAGTAGGGTTTCGGGTGTGTGTAGTATCTACTTTGGGGGATATGCTACACCAAGGTTGAGTTTTATGGTGTTAATTTTGGAATTAAAATGCATGAATTTCATTTGGTCATGAAAATTTTTTGGGGGGATTTATGCATGTTTGTCTTGCTTTTGTGATAGTTTGTGTAAATTCATTGTACTCAGCGTTTTGTTGCACCATAATTGAAGTTTTGTGCACTTTGTATTGAATTTCCGAAGTAAATTGTGAGACATATCAGTTGATTAGTAGCATGAATCAATCTGTTAATTAGATGCATGGTATGTGGATAGGCAAGCATTACTAAATTTTAATTGGGCAAGGAATATATGTGTTCTAGATTGCATCATTCATTTGGGATGTGTGGTTGTTACTCTGCTGGTTGTAATACAAAGTAATGGGATTGGTTTTTGTAATATGAAGTAGTTGGTTCTAAATAAGCAGGGTAGTGCATTGTGCATGACATGTTATTTTTTGTGAAATTTATGGAAAAGAATAATATAAATAATTGCATGGATTATTTCAAGTTACCATGAAGTTCAAACAGATATTATTCTCTGGTATTATGGATCTGGGAATTGATTTTGAATCTTTTTGTTTTTGAATTCTATAAGGAGGTTTGATGCAGTGTTGTTGAAGTTTTGAGTATTTTGATTTAATTTTGATGGAAAGTGTGGGTAATTTGAATTGATTAGAGTCAGTTTCCATTGGTTGATTAGATGCATGGTGTGGGGTGAGATTAGCAGTCTCAATTTTTATTTGGATGACCAATATATGTGTTCTACAATGCATAATTAATTCAGCATGCATGTCTGTTTCTGTGATGTTGTTGACTGTTTATTTAAGCAGTTTGTACGAGTATTATATGTGGTGTATTTGAAATATTATAATGGGTATACATAGCATTTTCTTGTTTAGATGCAATAGTTGGTTTTAAATATGCAAGGTAGAGGCACTCTCCATAGGAGAAAACTCTATGTGAACTTCAAGAAAAAGAGTATTGTAATTGATAATCAATGAATGTGTTCTACAATTTCATCAGTCATGAATGTGTTCACAATTTGATATTGGATGCAAGGTGTGGATTTAGTTAAGCATTCACAGTTTATTATTGGATCAGAAATGAATGTGTTCTGAACCAGTCATTCAGGATGAAACCTTTTTTCGTGTGGTGCTTGTTGGTGCTTGTAGTTTTTTTTACATATTATTATGTGTATGCATGTCCTTTATTGGTTTGGTGCAGTAGGTGATTCTAAATAAGCAATGTATTGCATGGTACATGACAGAACAAATTATGTAAAAGTCATTGAAAAGAATATTCTAATTGATATGTGGGATAAATATGTGCAATTTAAATTAAATTCAATGCATTAGTTCATTAGTTTTGTTCCATATGGCATGAACAATGATCTCGTCAAATTCTTTATAATGCATTTCTCACCTTCACAAGAAGGCAGCAGCTGTTCCTGAAGAGATGTAAGAAGAAGGTGCTGAAATCACAAGATAGCACTCCACGAAGGAGGAGTGGAAGGTTGATGAACGTTATGTTCAGAACGAAAACCAAGCTGCATGGGGGACCGGAGCAAATAGATCTCGTTGGTGACGAATCAGCACAAACTGGGAACTCTATTGAAGGTGACGGCATTAGTGAAGACAAAGACAAAGAAATGGGAGAAGTTCAACCGAATGCTCGGGTGGATGTTGTGAGAAATGTTTTCCATGTTGGCAATATGCAAGATGGGCAGGGTAATGTGGATTCTGGAGGTAAAAATAGCGCATCCCCAACGAAGATGTTAACGGATGGCGAGGAAGAAAACAGTGATGATGAGGTTGCAAATGATGATGATGATGGAGAAGAAAGAGATGAGGACGAGGCAGATATTGATGGTGAAGAAGGCAACGATGATGATGGCTCAGAGAGTGATGGTGCACAGACCGGTGGTGATCAGGAATCGGAAGAGTACGAAGGGGACGACAATGAGAATGATGATGACACGTCTGGTGGGCAAGGTGAAGATAGTAGAGTTCGGGGTGGATCAGTGAAGGGAAAGACACCGAGAGCAGATTGCAAGAGTGTTGAACGGTCAAGTAGAAGAACAATTAAGGCTATGAAGAAGGGAAAGGAGCGATTACAGGTGACCGGGAGAACAAAGATGGTGGGGAAAAAAAGCGAGGGCTGGAAGGAGGAAGTTGGTGGATATCAAGGCACCATATGGGTCATTGAAGACAAGGTCCACACCGCATGTATTGATGAAAGCAATACAAAGGATGAATGTTGTTCAGCGTGCTGAGGTTGAAAGAATTGGGTTTGGATCAGTTTAAAGCATTGATATTTGGGAGTTGCCATCAAGATTGGGTCTTTGGGTTGTAAGTAACCATGATGCGAGAAGCAGCTTCTTAAAACTTCCGGACAGTACGAAGATGCACATAACTGCCGAAGATGTTAATACCGTATTGGGCTGGCCGGTGGGAGGAGAGCGGGTTCAGAATAACAAGCGCAACAAGGACAAGTCACTGTTGAATGAGTGGAGACTTAAGTTTGATACGACGGGTATTAAGATTACTCCGAATGATGTTGTAGAGAAGATGTTGGAGTGCATAGAGGGAGGAGAGTGGTTTGTGAGGCATTTTGTAACGTTAATTGTGTCGGTGCTTGTGCATAGCACATCACACGGTTACGTGAATGCATTGGTGATGGACAATTTGAGGGATGTTGGAAGAGTTCCAAGGCTGGATTGGTGTCAATATGTTCTTGACAAGCTCATAGAGAACAAGTTGAAGTGGGAGAAAAAAAGAAGTAGTTATTCAGTGGTCCACTGCTGTTTCTACTGGTATGATTTATAATACTGTTTATAGTGCATTCTTTACTTTCTAACATGCTTATGAACAATAACATTTTGCAGGTATTCTACGTAGATCGTGTGTCTGATTTTTCAAGGACGGTTCCTAGGACATATCCAGATGTGTTGGCCTGGAGTGGAAAGGAACTAAGGAAAAGAGAGAACAGTGAGGTTACTGAGGGGGGTTTTGGTTTAGGTCATGACGATGGGCGAATGAGTCGTGAGGCGCGCATTGAGCTGAACGGAGATATGAATGAGAGAGAACGGGACGCTGCCGAGGAGAGAGATGAGGCTGAACAAGAAAACTTGATCGTTGAAGATTCGGAGGAGGTAAAGTTTGCATGTGTTATTGAGCACGAAAAATGGTGATTTGTTATATGTAGATAGGTGAATTTTAAACATTTAAGCGCTTTTGTCGTTTTACGTTTTATCTAGGTTCTTGTAAGGAAAATTGCAGACAAAAGCAAGATCCTGGCAAGCACAATTATTGATCTGCTAAACATGATTCAGGATGCACCAAAGTCGATGGCAAAGAATTTGATGTTTCGTAAGATGCGTAATGTGTGCCATAAAGTAATTGGCATAAATGTTGAAAAGAAAGATAATATTGAACAAGATCTTAAGAATAATGAAAGAGACATGTCGGAGGATTCAGATTTTTGGAGCAGTCCAGACCTTTGGGCAGCAGTTGATGAAGCGGAAAAGGCAGCTGAGGTGCGAAAGAAGTATGAGGAATTCATTAACGATGTGCCTTCTTTCAGTCTGGGGATGGCACAGGTTTTGGAAGAAGACGTGGAGAGCAATCGTGAAAATGCAAAGAGCAGTGAGGGGAATGAAGTGAATGAAGTGGTGACGCCAGCGAACAGAACTCCTAATGATCCTCAGCACACCCCAAACATAGATATCACAGCCTTGGAGTTTGGGAGTGTGGGGTCTGTGAGGGGAGAGGAAGTGCATCACAATAAAGAGATGGAGCAGAATGGAACTGTGATTGGTGCAGAGGGTGATGAAGTTTGTCATGACCTAGGTGCGAACATCCAGGTAACACAACTTTCTGTACACATTTCATATACATAGAAATGTAGTGCACATATTCATGATATAAATGTTGTTTGCTTTTATAATAGATTGATATGGTGGTTGAGGAGGGAAGTGGGTTGTGAGAAATAAATATGAAGACAGGTTCGTGCTTTGTATCATGTTAAAGAAACATAATTTCATGAAATTAAAGTTGTCATTCTTGAATTTGGTACTGTATAACTTATGCAGGAAGGAGCTTGTGTTCAATGGGTATAATATTTTGGTTGAGCATGGAGATTTGTTGACGTTGGAAAGTGGCCATCACATATCTCCACGGGTAGTTGATGCTTGGTCTTGCATATTGAATCACAAGGAGCTGTTTCGTAGCGTTGCGTCTCCAGCCCGGTTTTTTGCAAAAACAATTAAATGTGTAGGTTATTGTCTAATAATATACTTAAATACTCTTTTGTTTTTGTTTATTTATATATATTACTCTATAATTGCATATGTTCATGAGTGAGGGGGAGATGGAGAAAGATGTGGATGCTTATAAAGTGGTTTGTGATGCTTTGGATTATGGATGGAGCTTAACCAATCCATGCGATGCTGATATGCTGAGTTTATTGATTCCTGATTCAGAGTTATTCATGTGAGGTTGTTATGTTGTTTATTTATACAATATGCATATACTGTTGC